CCCAGCACGTCTCTCCCACTCTCCCAGCACGTCTCTCCCACTCACCACATAAGCCACGTTGTTGACTCCCGGGTACTTTTTGTACGTGCCATCACTGTCCGTGCCGATCAGCTGGTCCCGGTCCGCATCTGTAAGGCTGCCATTCACCTGGTTCTTCTTCCGCTGCTTGGGAGAGCGCCTCCCCCTGGCAGGGTGGACACACAGCAATCTCTGTATCACCGGTGTGCTGGTATACATACCACCACTGACCCTGTGGCCGATCAAAGTCTTGGGGACTCAATGCCATGTCTGTCCGTCTCAACTGTCGCTCCTTTATTCCTCATATCTAAATATTGCTATACTAATTAATACTACAGATCCCAGTCTAGTGTTATTTATTGTTTATTGTTGTTGTACAATCAATTGTCCAATAACAATAAAAAAAAAATCAGATTCTCATTCATAGTCTTGGCTTAGCCAGGTCAACACAGCATGGGTTAATACTGAAACTAAATAAACCTGAATCCTTCTTGGAGCCGTAATTACTGCCGATGTCAGAATTATTCAACAATGTTCAGAGACAGATGGGTCATCAAATCACACAGGGGTTTCATGAAACAGAATATGTTCTGATGAGCAATTATGTTCACAGAAAGTACAGGAGAAATTCACGCAGCCTATGAAAGATCACCGGTGAACCAACAGAGACGCTTGAGGGTAACATATGAACCACACGTGCCCAGTGAGCACTAACCTCCTCCGCGGTTCCATGGCGCCGTGAACATGGTCGTCCGGCTGCAGGATCTTGTCGATTTGCTGCTGAGCCTTTTGGTAGATGTGCTGCTGGTCCTTGGTGTCGCCAAAGCTGCCCATGATGTCGTCCATGGCAGGGAAGTCGTAGTGGCCCTTCCTCTTGGCGCGCAGGCGGATCTTGTTGCGGTGGTGCTCGATCTCGGACTTGTGCCTCAGCGCTACCTGGATCTTGAAGAGAGGCGAGTCACTGCAGTGAGACCGACAGGACGGCAAGACGAGCACCGAGGTCCAACCCGGTCCCAGTAATCAAGATGAACTGAAATCACGTTAAAACTGAAACCACTGCAGACTTTTCCAGTTACAGTCATGTGAAAAAATTAGGACGCCCCATTATATGTTTAGTTCTTTATTAAGAAATATCAACATATGATTTGAAAGAAGATTTAATAGTGATATGTGTAGATAAAGGTGATGTAA